TGCAGTAGTCACATGAATCTACACAAGTGATAAAAGTGCATTGAACTAGGGGCTGGGGTTTCAGCTCAGCGGCACAATGCCTGCCTGGCAAGCGCAAGGTCATGAGTTCGATTCCTGGTACCGGAAAAAAAAAAGTGCATTGAACTAAATATACATGTGTATTCACATGCGTACAAATGCATATAAATCTGGTAAATATAAGGAGGATGAGGGGACAATATCAATATCACTCTCCTGCTTGTGTTACTGTATTCAAATCATACAGGTGTCACCACTGAGGAAGACAGGTGAAGGGCATACAGGATCTTTGTTATTTCTGACAACCACATGTGAATCTACAGTTATCTCAAAGTTAAAAGTTGAAAAGAAAAAGTCTGGGGGCCTTAAAATATAGCTCAGTGGTAGAGAGCTTGCCTAGCATGTTTGAAGCCCTGGATTGATTCCTAGTGCAGAAAAAAGAAAATTAGGTCCATGAGAGACCCAGGCCTGACCTTGAACCTCAGGAGATGAAGACTGGAAGGGCCTAAAAAGAGCCATGAGTCATTCAGAATGGGGAAAGTTACTTTGATCTTGCTTCTTCATCCCCTGCCTTCATTCTGAGATACTGAAATCAAAATGGTATATGTGTGTGTGTGTGTGAGTGTGTGTTATGTGTGCTACACACTTCTATGGTACAGAAGAAACAATTTAAACACTGAATTATGTCCATAGAGATTAAGAGCCTCGAGGAATAATTTTTCTTGCAGTTTGCATACATTAACGCTTACTCTTTGTGATGTGCAGTTCTCTGGGTTTTGACAAATGGATAGAATCATGCCGGTGCTACCCCAGGACCATACAAAGCAGTTCCATCACCCTAAATATTCACTTGTGCATCCTCTTTGTAGTCAGCCACTCCCCTCTACCAACCCCTGGCAACCACTGGTGATGAATTGAATTCTACAACATAAAATGAATTCTAAAAAGGCTTAAAGTATGGGGAAAGCATTGCAAACAGATAGAACATAAGAACAAAGGAATAGAGGCTGTTTTTAAAAAACTAATAACCCAAAGCTAACACTGCGTGTCAACCATTGCTTGGAATGCTGTGGGTGGTTTGTAAATGTTGACTGGTTAGTTGAACAAATGAACCGTATAATCTTGAATGACTCTCTTAGCATTGCTAAGCCTTGGTCTACTCATCTATAAAATGGGAGTAGCCCAATTCAGAATTTATTTGTGAATTTCTGCTAACACTCAAGGATTCTTGACTCCAGGTTGCTCATGTTCAAGAAGAGAGAGATGCAACAAACATAAAGAAATTGTAAAGATCACGAGAAGGAGATAAGTACTGTGGGAAAAGCTCTGCAGGGTAGGGGAATGTGAGTGTGGTGAGGGACTGTGCTTGCAAATGGGGTGGTTCCAATCACCTTCCATGGTGGAAGGTTGGAGCTGACCTTGAAGGGTTAGGAAGCACTTGGTACAGATGTCTGGAAGGTGGGAGTATGCCTGGTGGTTCCAAGAAGAGCCAGAAGGTCAGCAAGGCTGGAGGGCATGAGGGCAGAGTGGAAGGCAGTGGATCAGACAGCTAGCAGGGTCCAGATGGCTTTGCATCTTGCAGGCTGTGACGCTTATTTTATGGGAAACGGGAAGTCATCTCAGAGTTTTGAGCAAAATTACACGATCTGACTTACGTTATTGGGATGGCATTAAATTATTATATTAAATATTAAAATGAATATTAACTATTTAAAAAGGCCTGGCACAGAGCCTGGAACATGGCTTGTCTCCTGCTTCCCTTGTGTCTAACAGGACATTCATTCACTGACTTGCACCCGAGGGTCTGTGGGCAGGAGTGAGTAGCTGGTGCCCTCTCCTGGAGGAGCCTATATGAACTGCGACAGCTGGAAGTGGTCAGGCTCTGGCCAGGCCAGTTGGCCAGGGCAGCTGGCTGCAAAGCATTTGTCTGTCCCTCAATGTGGGCCCCACAGTGCCCTGCAGCCTGGCGCCAGGCTGGGTGTATGTACTGCCAGTCTGCCCTGCCTTTGGTCACAAGTCTATGGTGTCATGGAAAGAGATCGTGGGCTCAGGAGGCCAAGGAGCCTGATGCCCCATCCTCCTTTGTCACAGAATGCTGTGTGACCTTAGAAAGTCACCCCACCTCTCTGAGCCATGGAGCATTTCCTCTAAGTTATAATGATGCACCACATGCCTAGCACATGGAAAAATCTCAATAAATATTCATTGAATCAGTGAATAAAGTGTCAGGGGCAGCCATCAGCCCTTCTGGGTAAATGTTTAATTTAGAGAAAAGTAAATAAAAGTGCCCAGTGGGTATTCATTCAAGCAGTATTTAAATATTTAATAAGTACCTACTATGTACCAAGCATTCTTCCAGGCACCAGGGATGTAGTAGCGAATAAAAGTCACCCTTGGGCAGCTGACATTTTAGGTGTTGAATCAAAGGTCATAGATGCATTTGCATTTGTACCCTGGTGAGGCCTGTGGTGAGAAGGAAGAAGAAATGAATGGGGCACTAAGAGGCAAGGCAGGGGCGGCAGCCAGAGTGGCCAGATGGGGTAGGAAAGTGTCCACTGGCCCCTTAGCTCCTGGTACAGGACCCACCGCCACAGCCCTTCCTGCTCCCACTCCAAAGGGGTTTGAGCTGAACTAGGCCTGGTCCTTTGAGTCCTGTGGGAAGCCAGCCAGCCCTCTGTGAGTCCTCTTCTTTCTTTTTTTTTTTTTTTTTTTTTTTTTTGGTACTGGGAATCAAACTCATGACCTCAGGCTTGCCAGGCAATCGCTTATGCTGCTGAGCTACATCCCCGGCCCAGGCCTCTTCTTTCTTGATGCTTAGAGTCATGAGAGGACTGCAGAGCACCCCAAGGGGCAGGGAGAGGTTTTTGCCGTGGAGGTAATGGGGTGTATGTGGGGGATGTGTTGATCACTGTATGTGCATGATCATGTGAAGCTCAAACTTTTTTTGGTCCATTCCCTGGGCTCCCTGGGTCAGCTGGCTGCACTTGCCTGTCTCTCAGTGTGGGCCCCAAGCGAGAAGTCTCAAGGAGACAGGTGCAGTTCTCAGAGAATGCTACCCCTAGGGGACAGAGGGCAGCTCTGGCTTTCTCTCTAAGGACACGTGAGCACGGTTATGGAAGCCTGGTGGACTGAGAAGGGAGAGCTTAGCACCATCCCCAGCTGGAAGGCCACAGTGAAGTGGGGAGCTCTCTGATACTGGGGACATTCAGGCAGAACTTGATTACTGACCATCATCGAAGCTGGGACGAGGCTGAGAAGGGAGTTTCTGTACCAGGAGGATCATTGCCCAGAGGACTTCTGAGGTCTCTCTCTGAGAGTGTAAGATTGCTACCTTCCCTCCACCCTAGTGACTAGAAAGTACCTAAGCTCTCCCTGACTTATGTATCCCTTTATCCTTTGTAGAGCAGGTAAGTGCACATATAACTCACCCAGGGGAAAGAAGGTACAAGGCTGAAGAAACTTCTCATGGATATACCCCTCCCCTTTACCCACCAAGGTCCAGTGTCCCTCTATCCCTGGTGTTTCCATCACAGAGAGGCCACCTCAGATGCTAGGACCCCCAGCAAGCTCAAGGACAAGCTGAGGACACTGGGAATGCTGCTTCCGGTTCCATTTTTTGTGAAAGTCATGGAGCTTCTCTGTGGATCCACAAGGGAAGTTCTGGGCCAGGAGGGCTCACTTCATTCCACTGGAGCAGAGAGGGGACAGGAAAGGACCATGAGCTACTAGCGGTAGGGGTGGGGCCCTGGGGTGTCCCCAGCTCCTATGGGGCAAAGGGGGCCTTCTTAGAGAGAGGAGGTAACTTGTGAGTGAGGGTGGCAACAAAGGACAGGAATAAAGAGCCACTAGAAAGGATTTTGGAAGTTTCTGGATAAGTCAGTTTTGAATAGCACAGCAGGGATCTTAAGACTAAAAGCTCACTAGGTCTATTTGACTCAGTTTATCACGCTTCTACATCTACCCTCTTCCCATCTCCTTTGAAGGACAGCCCCTGACATATGGGAGGAGCAACATGAAGCCTGAGGCCTTCTTGGAGCCATCAGCTTTCCTAAATCTAGGCTGCACCTGGAAACGCATGCTTTTCGGAAGGAGTGAAAAGAGTGTCCACACCTCCTCCTGATACCCTTGGCTACCCAACTGCTCCCCTCAGCCCTCTGTTGATTAATTAAGACTTGAAATGTCTCCTTTAACATACGCTAGCATCCCACGTAGATGTGGGTCTCGTTCTAAATACTCCTTTATTCCATTAATATTTGTATACCTCCTATTCATTAATAAATCTTTTAAAAATTATGTTCAGCTATGTTAATACATTTGAATGTTTTATTCCATGATTTCCTTTTTTTTCATATGTCCTACACTCTCCTTCCATCTTTCCCAATTCTCCCAACATTTCCCTTTGGTATTTTTATTGAGACTGCAGAGCATTGCAATGGGAGGATCACTGCCCAGAGGACTTCTGAGGTCTGACTCTGAGAGTATAGGATCACTGAAGGCATTGAAGATGACTGTATGATGAACTGACGTTTTCAGAGTACTGAACCTTCTTACCCAAGCCAAGTTAGATTTTTGCATTTTTCTAAACATTGTTATAGTTCCTGAATTGGCCCGTGTGCATAGAAAGGCCTTAGAAAGGATTAATGAAAAGAGGCTGGAAACTTCCTTGGGGAAAGGACTGAGGTGGCCTCCTTCAGTCAGCTGAGGAGCTGCAGCTTTCTTCAAGAGGACAGGAGGTGATACCTGTGGCATAGGACATTTAAGGGGGTAGTCCAGGACCCAACAGGAGGTATTTGTGGTTCCCCAAGAAAATCTCCTTGTCTAGCTCATGCCCCATTTTGCTACACACAGACAGTAGAACTGGGAGGCCCAGAGGATAGTCTGCCTGGTTGGAGGTTGGCCCAGTCCATCTCAGGGTGGTGGGTGACGTGACACGGCCCCAACCCCAGTTACCCGCCAGGTAAGACAGTAGGGGGCCTGCAGGATTGTGCTCATCTCTTTATTGTTTCTGTCCAGAGCCCCTGCAGTGGGAGGGGCAATCGTGGGGAGGTGGCGTCCTCCTGCCAGCCTGAGCCTGCACACACTCTGCCTCCCTCTCCTCCTCTCCAGCATCTCACCCACCCTCTCTCCTTCTGCATCTCCTGCTCCCACATCTAGCACCTTCGGGGGTTCCCTCTTGCAGCCCCTGCTTTCTTATCCCACCCTGGGCTGAGGAAAGGAAAAGAAGGGACCATAGTGACAGTTTCAAGTCCCTCAAGTGTCCACAGGGGTTAGTCCCCTGGTCCTTGCCCAGCTTGCTGAGGAGCCTATCCTTTCTTTCTCCAACTAGGGCTTGGGGGTGGGGAGGTCCACAGGGCTCTGTCCTGACCCTGCAAGTCCCAACATACTGCTCTGAGGCATTCTCTAAAGCCAGAGGTCAGAGCCCAAGGTCACAGCTGGGAGGGAGTAGGGTCACAGCTCGAGCTGGGTGCAAGAGCCAGGCTCACCCCCCTCTATTAGCCAAGACTCATGGTGGGCTTCTCAGAGGTGGCTGGAGTGCTGCCTGGGACTGGGCAGGATGGGGACTATGAGGGGTGGCCAGTGAGAAAGAGTTAGAGGCGGTGAGTGGAAGAAGGCAAGGCAGCTGGGTGTGGCATCCCAGGATGGAAGGAGGCTGGCTGGCTTCAGGAGTCAGTGAGGATGGGGCCAGGACTGTGTCGGAGGTTCTCTAGCTTTAGAGCACCTCATGCTGCTGCTGTGTGGCCTCGCTGACGACCTGGGGAGGAAGAGAACTCTAGTCCAGCCTAGTGCTGGCTCAGAGGAGCCCCGTGCACCCCACCCCAAGATAGCAGGCCCCCCCTCAGCCCCAGACAGGGGCCTGAACCAGCCCAGCTGATAGAAGACACATGGCTGACGGTCCCCTCAAAACCCTCCAGCCACCAAGAATGAGGGACTGGATAAAACACTCACCTCCCCATCACGGGTCTCAATGGTCTTAATCATCACTGTCTTCTTGGTGTGGACCTCGGAGCCCCTTTGCTCTGGACTGGTCTCTGTAATAGATCCACCGCATGCTCAGCCTAACCAAGTCCAGGCCGGGCTGTCCGTGGCCCAGAGCTACTCCTCAAGACAGGCTTTTAACTTCAGTGGGATAGTAAATAGCGCCTATCCCTGAGCCCAGCATCCAGCAGGTGGCTCTGCAGATCCCGGGGCTAGCTCCATAGTTGACAGGGGCTCAGGAGTCCACAGACTGCAGTGTACAAACTGGTGCAGGACTAGGGATACTAAGGCCCAGGCTGGCCTCCTCTCCTAGCTTCCTCTCCACCCTTGGGCTCCAGGAGAGCCCCACAAGAGATTGTATCTGGGACTTGCCCCGTCCAAGACAGAACCCCAAAGCCCAAGCTCAAGAAACCCTTTTGGAGGACCTGCCAGGCCTCAGCTCTTGTAAGACTCAGAATGAGCAACTTGATGTCTTAATAAAGGTGAGATGGAGCATCAGTCACTATTCACAAGCCTGATTCACTTGTGCTGTTGTGGATTTCCTCACTACGGAATGATAGCAATGATACTTGCCCTGGTGTGCCCACAGAGCTATTGATTTGAAAAAACATTAAGTGATTTTAAATGCAAGACTCACATTTGGTGTCTGTATAAACAACTAACTGAAAAGAGAAGCTCTGAGTTTTATAGGGAGGGTCAAATTTAGGTCCTTGGTATCGTGAGTCTGGCATTCATGAATCTCCTTAGCAAGCAACTAGCCTGTGATAAACGTGACTCGTTGGAGCGCAGTATGTATTTTTTTCCTGATGGAAATGAACATCGAAGATATAAAAGGTTTTATCTAGGAAAGGAGGATCTGCCAAGGACTCCGACTTGCTTTCCTAATGTATCATTAGAGCATATTTTTCTGCTCTCTGGGGTTGGAAAGCCACTTGATCTGCATATTACTAATGTCAGGATGGCAAAATGCCCCAAGAGCTCATTCTTTTTATTGTTTGGCTTTGCTGAGACTTGGCTTCATTTTTTCAAAGGTGCATCCAACATCTTGCTCCCATAAACTGGAGGTGCTCAACAAACAGCTGGAGGACATTTGGCCACAGGCCAGGTAGACAATGGGCATCAGGTACCTTCTAGCCCTGTGTGTGAGCTCTCTTACTGCCAGGTCCCTGGGGACACTCCTGGTACTTCTAGAGTTTGGGGTTCACACACACACACACCCAACACCTCTGAAGGTGCAGTGGACACGGTCAGTACAACACAACACAGTAAGACGCTGTCTTAGAAGGTGCTTTGCCTGTCTCTACCTATCTTAGGCAGCCCTCCTTCTCTGAGCACTGGCCCCACAGTTCCAGCCTCCCCTGCTGCCTGATCTTGGGCAGTATCCAGGCTGGACTCCTAGCCAGGAATGGCCCTTCTTCCCATCTCCCAGCACACACTTACCTCGGAAGTTGAGAGAAGAGAAGGTCTGGATAGGAAGGTTAATCCTGAAAAAGGAGAGACCAAGTCCTCAAAGTGTTAAGGATACTGCCATCTCTCCCTGTGACCACAACAATCAAGGCTCACCCTAAACATATTTCCCAGCTATCTCAGTCCCTCTGACCCCAATATTTCCTCTGTCCACACTGTATAGGGTATGGGGTCAGAGGCCAACTTCAGGTGTCCAAGAGTTGTCCCTTCTGGAAGGATCAGCCATTCCAACCCCAACCTGCTGGTAGATACCAGGATGTGCAACCCCACGATACCCTCCAGGACACCAGTATTTCCTTTCTGTTCCTGGCACTGCAAGAGGTTTGGATAGCAACTGTGAGAGTGCCCTCTAGGCAGGACAGTCCCATGAGCTGACCATTTACATTCATGCTGGGTAAAGAGAACAGAGCTTTACTGTTGCAAAAGTCCAACCTGTAGACATTATTCTATTAAACCTGAACTCTCTTTATGTGAAAACCACATCTAAACACATTGGCCAGTTTTTAAACACCTTTAGGTGTTTATTATTATTATATATTATATATTATTAGTGTGACGTGAGACTAAGGATTGAATCCCAGGTGTCACACATTCTAGGCAAGCGCTCCACCACCAAGCTACATCTCCAGCCTTCTTTATCTTTATTTTGAGAAAGGGTCTCCTTAAATGGCCCAGCCTGGCCTCAAATTTTCAATCCTCCTACTTCAGCCTCTAGAGAAGCTGGAATTACAGGTTTGTACCACCACAACTGGCTTAGATATTATTTTTATGAGTAGCAACAAGTACCATTTTTTGACATAATGGACATGTCTTAAACTGAGATTCTGTTGACATACAGTGAAATGGACACATATTTAATGAGCATCAGTCAAAGTCTCTATCCATGTATCTACCAGCCCAAATCTGGATACAGAACACTTCTATCACCCCAGAAGCTGCTCATATCCCTTTCTGGTGTCTAGGTGGGGGTGGTAATCTGAATATGACACCTGGGGGTCTTCGCTTGAGCACACATGTGTAAGTGCGGTGTGTCTCCACCCCACCCTTAGCTTGTCCGTCTGCAAGGCTTTCTGTCTCCATCTCAGCTTGTCTCTTTCTGCCCCTCCCTTTCCTTCCTCATCATTCGCCACTCTCCTTTCATCTCTCCCTTGACTGGCTGTAATATTTTACAACTGATTGCTGAATATGATTTTATGCTGCTGGTTCTTAATTCTAAAGGTGGAGGAGGGAATACTTATATTTCTCATTTTATAAAAGCTGTTAATTACATTGCTTTTTACCCAAGTGGCCTTGATTAATTCCATGCAATGAGCAGAACTGTAGTTCCTTGCATATAGTTGTTTCCAGGTCGTGTCCAGGTGATCCAGAGCCCCTGGGGGAGGACTCTCTCTCATCCCCGCCCCAGCTCCCTAATTCCAGCCCCTGCCTGCCTCTCACCGGCTCTCCTCGCCCTCCAGCAGCTTTCGGTAGGTGGCAATCTCTACGTCCAGGGCCATCTTCACGTTGAGCAGGTCCTGGTACTCGCGCAGGTGTCGGGCCATCTCATCCTTCAGGTGCCGGATCTCCTCCTCCAGGCGTGCGATGTTGTCCTGGTAGCCGCTGGCCTCGCTGGCAAACCGGTCCTCCAGCTCCCGCATCTGTCTCATCAGGGAATCGTTCTGCAGAGGGTGGGTGGTGGGAGCCCAAGTCAAGGGCAGGCTCAGAGCACATCCACGGAGGGGACCAGAATGGAAAGGGAGGTAACTCCAGATGGTCAAGTCCAGGAATTTTCAAAGGAGTAGCCAGAGAGCCCTGCACCCAAATGATGTCGTATGTGGAGACTCAGAGAATAAGACACATAGAAAGGACCATCTGTGTTCAGTGCATACAGGGAGATGCTGCCAGAAACATTCTGACCCCTTAATTCCCTACTGGGAATCACCATCTAGCTTTACCCCTGGTGTAGACCTGAGGCAATGGAAGCTCAGAATGGGTCTGTGATGAGCCCAAGATCATAGTGAGGGTGTGAGCTGCAAACAGAAAGGGGCTGAGCTTTTGGAGATGGGCAGGGACTCACAGTGCCTTTGAGGGCGTCAATCTCACAGGTGTAGGACTGGATCTGGTGTCGGTATTCCATCATCTCCTGCTTGGCCTGGCGCAGTGCATCATTGTTCTTGTTGGCAGCCTGGGTCAGGTCAGATACCTAAGAGCAGAGAGACAGCCCCTGAGACAAGGAAGAACAGGAGGCAGGTAGGGTGACAAGAAAGACGGACACTCAGGGTTCACCCTCTTCCCCACGGATGAAGCCACAGGCAGCACCTACAAACTAGGATACAGGGGGACAGAGTCCCCAAGCCAGGCCACTCACCTTGGACTTGTACCACTCCTCAGCTTCAGAGATGTTCTTAGCCGCGATGGTCTCGTACTGAGCGCGGATGTCCCTGAGGGCAGCTGTAAGGTCTGGCTTGGACACGTCCATCTCTACCTGGACCTGCTGTTCCTGAAGCTGGGCCTGTAGCTCACGGATCTCCTGCAGGGTGTGGCTGGGCTTCAGTACTCATGCAGGCCTCCCAGAGCACCCTCACACCCCATTCCTTAGAGCCACTCCACTTTCCAACAGCTTCACCATGGCCTGAGGACCCCGCATACCTCTTCATGCACTTTCTTAAGGAACGCAATTTCCTCGTTGAGAGATTCGATTCTGCGCTCCAGGTCAATACGCGCTAGAGTGGCTGCATCTACATCCTGGGAGAGGTCAGACAACAAGGACAGGGTCATAGAAGCCCAGAAAACCAGGAGAGGATCGAAGGGAGAAGACTGCTGGGGTAGCGGAGAGAGCTTACCGCTCGGAAGGCAGCCAAATTGTTCTCTGCTTCTTCTTTCAGCTGGATTTCTTCTTGCAGCCTGGCCAGGACAGACAGAAGGGCAGACAGTTGAAGGGATTAAGGTAGCAGTGGAGACAGTCACTGGGGGTAAAGCCAGCAGTAGAGATGACAGGCTAGGGGTGGATCAGGGAATAGACACAGGACTGAGAAGCCCTGGCTGCTGGATAGAGACCAGAGGCCCAGAGAGGGAGTGGCAGAGGCTCCGGCCAGCCAGGGAGGGGACCGGAAGTGGCCCAGTCTCTGCCTTGGAGCCACACCCTTGTCCCGACCAGACTATGACCTTCCTGGGGTGGGGAACTGCATCTATCTTCTCTTCCTACGTGTTCCTTGTTCTCAGCCCCAGCCTGGGCCATATAGCTGCTCAATTAATGTTTGCGACTTTGATAGCAGAAGGTGACTGCTCAGCTGGGTAATCAGAAGCAGGACCATACTCTGCACTCAGCCTTTTCATACTAGATGCCCAGTGGAGCCTGCCATCCAGTCCTCCCAAGCTTTTGGAGGGTCACAGGCCCCTATCCACTCTCCCAGCTGCTCCAGCTTGTCCAAGTGTGAAAGGACACAGCCTCAGCTAGGCTCTGGGGCAAATGTCCCTCTCCCCTTCCTCCCCTTGCTGTGTCCTCCCCAGGGGCCTCCTCAGAGCTGAGAGCTATGCCTCTCAATTCCCCGCCTTCCCCAGCCTGTCTAAGCTTTGTTCTTATCTCCCATCAATCCCCGCTCCCTGACTATGCCCCAGCTCCCTCCAGCCCTTCCTCTGCCCATTTGCCTGTCTGACACCCGCCCCGCCCCCAATCACCACTCAGCAGCTCGAGATCCTTTTAAAACGGCTGCTTATGGGGGGCCTGGGCCTCCCAAGGCCTCCCATTTCTACCCCTTAATCTATCTCCCCAAGAAAACTTTTCTATAGGGAGGGAACAATGGGTGAGATTTAGGTTCCAACTCCCCTCGGAGGACACAACGGGACGACCTTCTCCAAGACCGAGGTGGGATAGGATCCCTGGCCCTGAGGAGGGTGCTGACAGGGGGGGCCCTGCGCCCTGCTGGGGTAAAGGGGTCTCGGGGCGCCAGGCCCTCACTTGGCCTTGAGCCGCTGCAGGTCGTCTATCAGGTTGTCGCGCTCGACGTCCACGCGGGCGCGCTGGTTGGTGAGCACCTCCACCTGGCGCCGCAGCTCGCGCAGCTCCTCCTCGTAGAGCTCGGCGACGCGCGTGGGCTCGCGGCCCTTGAGGCGGTTCACCTCGGCGGCGAGCGCGGCGTTCTGCTGCTCCAGGAAGCGCACCTTCTCGATGTAGTTAGCGAAGCGGTCATTGAGCTCCTGCAGCTCCACCTTCTCGTTGGTGCGAGTGGTCAGGAACTCCTGGTTCACGGCGTCGGCCAGCGAGAAATCCAGCAGCTCCCCCGCGCCGTAGGAGGAGGGCGCGCGGGTCGCCCCCAGCCGGCTGGCCCGCAGCGACCCCAGGCCCCCGGACCCGCCCGACGTGCGCGACACCTGGTACACGCGGGATGTCACCGAGCTCGAAGAGCCCGTGGTGCCAAAGCCTGCGCGAGGGAACACGGGCGAGCTCAGCGGGGAGCCGAGCGAGAAGCCCCGGGCCCCGCCGAAGGCGCGGCGGTAGGAGGACACGCGCTGGCTGGACGAGTAGGCCTGGCTCATGGTGGCGGCGGCGAGGCTGGGCGGGCGCACGGAGGAGGCAGCGGGCAGCCGGCTGAGAGTGGATGCGGCGAGGGGAGACAGAGCCCCTAGCCGGACGCACTATTTGTAGCCCTCCTGACATCAGCCCCCGCTGCCCCCCCCCTTGACAGCTGCAGGATCCCGCTGTCCTGCCAGGAAAGGGAGGCCGCTGGGCCGGCCGTGGGGGCGGGGAGGCCAGCTCCCCCGCACGCGCCCTGAGCCCCTGAGCCCCGGAGCCTGAGGGGCGCTGTGTGGGTCTGACCGCCCAGGAGGCCCGCAGACAGCCGCTTCACCAGGGCTACCAGCCCCATTCAAGCCCTGGGTGCTTTCCTAATCCTGGGGGTGCTGAGGAGGAGAGCAGTCTATCAACTTCCATTCAGTTTGAGGGCTTTCTCTCTCCTCCAAAGAGAAATTTGGGGTCTTTTGAAGAGACAAGTACCTAAGAAAGCCCCAAACCACCTAATTTCTCAAGATTCTCTAGAAGGCACAGAATTTTGGGATGGCTCAGGCAAAGGCTAAGAGTCCCGCAGTCAAACCACGGCATTGCTAAGCACACTGGAAGGGGCAGAGAGCAGTGCTGGCCGTGTGTGTCTAGTGGCACCTGGGTTCTGGGTCCGAACTTCAGTTCTCCCTAGATGCGTGTAGTCCCGCTCCCTCTTCCCTACCCATGGACAGGCCTTTGAGTTTATAAACCACAGAATGATTTCCTGAAAGGCTGGATGTACTCTCAGTTCCTCTGGACAGTCCCAGCCCCGGCGACTCCCCCGGCTCCTGAGCCTCTGTCCTCTTCACTCCCTCTGATTCCTTTCCCTCCTCACACCACCCACACCCACCCACATTAGGGGTTTGTGTTTTGTCAGGAGCTGCGTGTCACCCCAGCCACCTCCCTGGCAGCAACAGCTGCCAACCCAAAATACCAGAGGGTGGTATTTATAGAGGAGAATGCACAGGGCCTGGAAACTAGGTACTGGAGAGGCTCCGGGTGGGAGGCCTGAGGGGGTACCCAGATAGTCAAGAAAGGCTAGGGGCAGCAAGCCTAGATCACTTCTCACCCCTACAGTGCTCCAGACCCCCAACAAGGCCGAAGTCTCACAGAGGGCTGGCCTGTCCCTTCACAGCCCGCTATGCCACAAGACACTCACTGACCCCTAGGGGTGGTCACACTTTTCCATGAGCACTGTTCTTGTCGCTACACCTCTACCAGGCCCTCTAGAGGCCTCTTTCAGGTCTGACCTCCTGGAATGCAAATCCTGGATCAGAGCACTGGATTAGGAGCCTGCAGCTGGTCCTACCTAGCCCTTCCATGCCTCGAGGTCCTCAGCTGTGTGATGGGGCGGGCCAGCCTCTGATACCTATCCTGTAGGGATTTGAAGAGGCCTACTAATAATAATCATAATATCTTCCATGACCTGACCACCTGCCGGATGCCAGTACTACTGTCAGCACCTATACCTGTGACCCCCAATTCTCCAACAACCCCATGCCATGAGGGCTGGCATTATTCCTATTTGATAGCTCAGGAGACTGAGGTATCTGACTCCAGAGTCCGAGCTATGGTCCCAGGCTGCGTGTGACTGTGCCAGGTGAACTGTAAAGGGCTTTGTTACTACTGTCTTTTCAAAGCCCTTTCGTATTAAGCGTCTAATTTTTATGCAAGAGACAATCTTACGAGGTGGATGGGAAGTTCGAGATATTCTTATCCAGTCTTCGAGTCGGTGCAAGCTGTCGTGTTCTGGTTATTTTTGTGCCTCAGCTCCCAATCTAGACTGTATGATTTTGGGAGCATTGTGGATCCTTCACACATGCCTGGCAGCACCATCCATTGTCATTGTCATTCAAAGTGGACTGCAAGTTCTTCTGGCCCATTCTTTTGATGACAAAAAGCTGTGTCTCAGCCAGGTATGGTGGTGATGCCTGTGATCCCAGCTCTCGGGAGGCTGAGGCAGGAGGATCGCTGCAAGTTTGAGGCCAGCCTGGGCTACCTAATGAGTCCAGGCCAGTCTGAACTACATAACAAAACTCTGTCTCAAAAAAAACAACCAAACAAACAAACAAAACAAACAAACAAACAAAAAAATCCTGCATTTCCTCCTCCCTGCCCTCACCCCTACTCTCCAAGAGCTGATATGTGATCCTGCATCCCTCTCCTCACTGCAGTGACTGGCTCAATGGCTGAGTCAGGCCTGAACAGGACCACTCAGAGACCTTCTCTGGGATTTATAGGTGGAACTGGAATTGCTAAACTGGAGCTGATGTGGACTTTGTTTCCCACCCACTGAGAGAGTGAGTGGAGAGAGCTCAACAAGTAGGAGGAAGAGGAACCTGGAGAGGCCTAACTGGCTGGGCTGGCAGTTCTCAATTCTAGCCCAGGGACAATGTTTCCTATAAGCACATCCTTGACTTTCTGAGCTCTACCTCTGTCCTCTTAGCTTTGGGCCAATGATCATTTTCCTTTTTTTATTTAAAGTCCTTGGTGTTGGCTTCTGTTACCTGCAGCCCAAAAAAGCTGACTAATCTGCTCTTGGAGGCTGCACACCCATTTCTATGATGCTACTGAAGATGATATTTTTGGGGCTCCCTTCTGTGGACAGATCCTAGACTACATACGGACAAGGGCTTTTGAACCAGCCCTCGGCCTCAGTTCCTTTGTGAAATGAGGCCAAAAACAAATAAATAAATAATGCCATTTATTCTCTGGTCAAAATCAACAGCTACCAGACTTGGCTCTGAACCATCTGGGACTGACTCCAAAATTCAGTTCCACACCCAAGGATTTGCTGCCATGGAGGGCAGCAAAACAACACTCCAGGGCCTGGAAGGCAGGTGAAACAGGAGCGCTCCAAAACATGCCCCAAGTTGGGCAGTACTGCTAGAGAAAGAGTTCAGACTCCCAAGGGGCTGCTTAGAAGTGGACTCATTAAAAATAATCATATTTTATCTGGATTCATGATGTACATGGTACAGAATTTAAGACATATGCGTTATTAAGCGCAAAGTAATTTCTTTTTCCATATTTTGACACTTAGACCCCCTGTAACCTTCCTTCAAGACAACCAATTTTAGTTGTTGCGGTTATGTCTCTTTTCAGAGATACTTGTGCACACACATTCCTGTAAGTATATACGGAGCCCCTCCCTACTGGTCAAGCTTTTTTCCATGAACAGATTGTTTCACTTTATTTTTTTTATTTTTTATTTTTTATTTTTTTGGTTTTTCTCCGGTACCGGGAACCGAACTCACGACCTTGCGCTTGCCAGGCAGGCGCTTTTTGCCGCTGAGCTAAATCCCCAGCCCCTTGTTTCACTTTAGTACATTGACAGCTGATTCATTTTCTATTGTGCTGTAATATATGTGACATGAAATTGACCATTTTCACCATTTTTAACAGATTGTTCCATTTTAGTGCATTGACAGCTGATTCATTTTTTATTGTGGTGAAATATACATAACATGAAATTGACCATTTTAGCCATTTTTAAGTATACAGTTCGGTGGCATGGAATACATTTGCGTTATTGTCAAGCATTGCGATTATCCATCTCTAGAATGCTTTCATCCTCCCAAACTAATTCTATAACCATTGAAAATAACTCCCCGTTCTCCCTGCCTCTCCACCCCTGGTGCTCACTGTCAAAAAAGTAAACTGAGGAAGAGTTAATTTGAGGAAACAATGATTGCATGAATTGGGCCGCTCCCATCCAGAATGTGGTTCAGGAACTCCAGAAAACAAATCCAAGGAGGAGGTAGGTGTTCACTGGACAGACACAAAAAGAAAGCAAAGCGAATATTCCGGTTACAGTTGCTTTATTTAGTCTGTCTAATTGGGAGGTCCCTTGTTACATAACTATAAATTTGTTGGTTGTTTCTGATGGGTTGCAAGTAAGTTTTGTTTTCCTTAATACAGGCACTTGAAAAGAAAATAGCTCCAATTAAATTTCACCTGTATTTTGCAAAGCAAGCAGACTAGGTTACTTACTATGACACCCAGTTGGCTGTGTCTGCTCAAGGATTCTTCAGACTATTTTAACACCGTAGTTTCACTTTCTGTCTTTATGAATTTGATGACTCTAACTACTTCAGGTAAATAGAACCATATGTTTATCCTCTTGTGACTGACTTAGTTCATTTAGCAAATACCCTCATGGTTCTTCCATGTTAGAGCATTTGTCAGACTCCACTTTTTTTTTTGTCTTTTGAGACAGGGTCTCACTCTGCAGTTCAGGCTGGCCTTGAACTCACTTTATAGCTCAGACTGGCCTCGAACTCACAGTGATCCTCCTGCCTCAGCCTCCTGAGTGCTGGGATTGCAGGCGTGAGCCACCATGCCTGGCTCTACTTCTTTTTTTTTTCTTTTTTCTTGGTTTTTCTCTAGTACCAGGAACCGAGCTCATGAGTTTGCGCTTGCCAGGCAGGCGCTTTGCTGCTGAGCTAAATCCCCAGCCCTGGCTCTACTGCTTTGTAAAGGCTGAATGATATTCCACTGCATGTAATACCACACTCTGCTTTTCTAATCACCTGCCCATGGAAATTTGTGTTGTTTCTGCCTTTTGGTTCTTGAGAAAAATGCTGATTTGAACTTTGCTGCACATGTATAGTATGCTCAAATTCCTGAGTTCAATTCTTTACTGTATATACTCAGATGTGAGGTTCCTATATCATATTGTGACTGTTTAATTTTTTGAGGAACTGCCATACTATTTTCTGTAGTATTTGCACCACATTACATTTCTACCAGCAATGCACAAGCCTTTTAATTTCTCTACATCCCTCCAAACACTTGTTATTTTTTGGCTTTGTTTGTTTTATAATAGCAATCTTAATGGGTATAGAATTGTATTGCATTGTGATTTTGCTTTGCACTTCCCTAATGGTCAGGAGTGTTCAGCATCTTTTAATGTGCTTGGTAATTATCTTTACATCTTCTTTGGATAAATTTCTATTTAAATCCTTCACCTATTTTTAAATTAGGTTGTCATTTTTGTTGTTGTTGAGTCATAGGATCTCTTTGTATATTCTAGATATTAGTCCCTTATCAGATATATAATTTGCAAATGTTTTCTCCCGTTTGTGAGTTCCT